CCTCCCCGCACTAGTTTCTTTATGCGCACACTGCCCGAGAGGCCACTCAGTCGCGCGCCTTCCCCGTCAACCTCTTCCTGGCCCTGGCTAAACTCACCATCTATAATACCAGGGAGAAGATGTTGGACGAGGGGGTGCTCTGCGACTGTGGGGCCTACTTTCATACCTCTTTGGTTTCACGTCTCCTGGCGGAGTTTCACTGGGCAGCGTCTGCTGGCTCCCTTGCCACCTTCGAGGAGCAGTGGGCGCTGTCCGGGGTTCTCTGCTCGGTGTCCCCATCTGGTTCCCTGATTTTGAACCTATGACCGTCACCTCGCTCCTTGTTTTTTTATTAGTTGTCCCACGTAATTATTTGGTACTGGGTCCAGTGGTCCCTCCCGCTAGGTTGGGGGAGGGGCCTTTCGTAGTGGGCGGCTAAGCCCGCCCACTTCCCGGTTCACCAATACGGCCTCACTACAGGCACCTAACTCCCCTTCAAGCCAACGGGAGTTAGGCTCCTAAATACTTTTCAGGATCTAGGCTGGAGGGTGGTTGCGTTTTAATAGGAATGCGATCCCCAATGTAAAGCATCTTTTAGGGCAGGTGGCCTCCCAAGGGGCCAATCTAGTAAAGGCTCAGGAGTGTTACGAGCCTCTGGCGCAGCAACAAGGGTGGTAGGGCTTTCCTTTAGAAAGATGTCAGCGCGTAATTCCTGCTTTCTCAGGTACCAGATAGAAATTCTTCACACTTGGTTTAAGGTCTCATTCCACCGGGATTCGTGAGCAGTAGTTGCCATGAAAGCCTGCTGCTAATAGAACCGTGTCCTGCTGTCTGACTCAGCTGCTCTATTCAACTAACCAGCTCTTACCCCAGTTTGTATTTTAGACTGGGGTTATTCACTTGTTTGCCCCAGTCACATCCCTTAGCCGCCATTTGTTAACAGCACAGCTTTCCACGGCTTGGATTGCTTTACCCCACTCGCCCTTCTGTTAGTACAAACCCTAAAAAGGAACTCAGAGCAACCAAACTCAGAGCAGCCCTTGCAATTGGAGAGGATGGGTCCCAGGACAATCCCTAGCAGTCGGGAGTGTCCATATCCCCTCTTGCCCTCTGCAGTTGATTGAAAAACAAAGAAAGAAGTTAGCAACATTTTTGTGCATTTTACTCCTGAGTTTTTTGTGTCGAAATTTCAAATTTCGACTGAACAACATCACCCTGAAATGCTATTTATCGAAAAATGGTTAAAACATAGAGACAATGTTGCAAAATTTCCCGTTCCTCCCCACACAGCAGCTGGGTTCGTCAGCATTTTGCATTTTGAAAGATGTAGCCATCTGGGTTTTTTCCCCCAGTCCTCAGCGAAGCTAAGGTGTGAATGGACAGGATTTACAAAAGAGCCTAACACCCAGGTTTTTAATGGGCGTTAGTCACCTAAATACCTTTAAAAATCTGGCCCTAAGTAATTTAGGAGCACAAGTGTACCTTACGCCCCTAAAACACTTAAGCATCTCTTGAAAATCCCATCCTGAACTATCCTGCTACTCCGCGGGGTAACGGAGAACACGAGTATAAGAACACCTTGCCTACACGGTACCTGTTCTCTGGTTTTGAGAACCATCAATACAATGTTGATTCCCCAGCATTACATTCACTTGGAACATTACAGGAAGAAACATTCAGAGCTATTGGAAAACCCCATCCAGATAAAGAGGAGTGTTTTATCAACAGAGAAAAGCAGGGTTGATCATGGGATTGAAAACAGGTACAAATACCAAAAGCAGTGAGCGGAGAGGAGAGAGTTGGGTTTAAAAAAACAAGGTGATGCAGCAGGTGATGTTCTGCCGGGAGCTTTCCCCTCTGATGCATGTGCAAAGCGCAGTGTGCTAGAGACACATGATCAATAAGAGAGAAATTCACAAAGGACCATTAGGTGCCCAGCTCCTACTGAAAGCCAGTGGGAGCTGGGCACCTACCTGTCATCCGTGGCTTGGGAAATCTCCCCCTTAGCACACAATACTTAGCCTAGGCTGGGATTTTCAGATGTGCCTAAGGGAGTTAGGAAGCACAATCCTGCCACTGAAGCCACTGCAGGTCAAGGAGACCCATCCTCCGTGGGTGCTTCTGAAAACCCCACCCCAACCCCGAAAGGCCTCGCTCCAGGCTGGGCTGTACCATGACCCAGTTGTTACACACTGCGACCCAGGCTTGGAACCCTGTCCCCTTCCCTAAGGCTTCAGAGCCTAAGCTCTCGCCCAAGCCGTAACGTCGACTCCACCTCCTGGCCCCTTGCTTGCCCGGAGGGAACATTCCCCCTGCCCCTACCCGCAGCCAGAGGCACCCAGCGAGCAGGGGGGAAAGGGCCGGGGCAGTGCAGTTCTACCAAGCCCATGCCCCCAAGCAAGCCAGCGCTTCATCCAAGCTCAGACTGAGGAGAGCTCCGGGGATTGGGAGTCCCCACAGGAATTCATTTGTCTTCTCCCCACCTTGGCACAGAGGAACCGCTTCGCTCCAGTGGTAGTAGCCTTGAGGGTGCCTTGAGCACGTGGTGCCGCTGTGGCCAATGAGACGGTAGCCCGCGTCGCAGCCGAAACGGATCTCGCTGCCTGGCTGCAGCCCGGTGTGGCTGAGAATCGAGCCGTGGAAAGGGGGCGGAGGGAGGCTGCAGTAAGGAGCTGGAAAAGGGGGGAAATATGTCACACACACATCTGTTGGAACAAAAGAGGCGCCATGTCGAGACAAATTCTCCTCTCTGTGCGTACGTGTTAGACGGCGTTTGCTTTGGTCTGAGATCTTACAAGGAAAGAGAGGGGTGGCAAAAAATACAAAGCCGAAGGGGGAAATGTTACAATGGCACATAATCAGGAACGGGCATCATTAACAGCAGTGCAAAGAACCTGTCCGCTCCGCGAGTGATTTCCAGGCATATTTAGGGCAAGACTGTAACATTATTGTGACCTGCATCCGGGGCAGTGCGTAGCTGTCCTGCTCCAGCAGCAGACCAGGGAGGGAACTGAATCAGAGAGGCACTTCCATCCCGGCTCAAAGGGGGAAGTAACGTGCTACACTGGTCTATGCCACATGACTTCCCCCCGTTGCACCAGCTCAGGGCTGCTGGCTGGCATGTTGGGGGAATGGCGTCCAGGCTCGGCCCACCTGCATGGTAGAAGGAGCAGCCACTCACGGAGATGGCCCTTCCAGCACCGTGAGATGCAGCACTGGAGTAAGGGCAACTCCCAGTCCTGCCCTTAGTAATTTAGGGCCTGACCCTGCGAGGTTCTGAGTGCCCCCGACTCCCGCTGGATTCAATGAGTGTTGTGGGTGCTCAGGATGGGGCCTTGAGAGGGCTCCGCGTAAGGGGCGGGGGTGTTCTTGAACACCGAAAGCGTCTGAACGCGGCTGATTTCAAGTTCTGTTCCAAGAAGGCAGGGTTGGTCTGACAGTCACACTCCCTTTGAGCAAACTGGGGCTGGACCCGGAGCCATTATTACAAAGCACCACAGCATTTTAGAGTCAGCACCAAAAACGCTGCAGGTGACAATCCAGACGCTGCTGTGCTTTTCGGAGATTCCAAGGCCAGAAGGGACCACCGGGATCATCTAGTCTGACCTGCTGTATAACACAGGCCAGAGACCTGCCCCCAAACCATCCCCAGGGCATACCTTTCAGAAAAACATCCGATCTTGATTTAACGATGGTCAGAGACGAAGAATCCACCACAACCCTTAGTAGATGGTGCCAATGGTTAATTACTCTCATTGTTAAAAATGGACGCCTTATTTCTAGTCTGAATGTATCTAGCTTCAACTTCCAGCCATTGGATCATGTTCTACCTTTCTCTGCTAAATATTTGTACCCCATGTAGGTACTATAATCACGTCACTCCTTACCCTTCCATTGTTAAGCTAAATAGATTGAGTCCTTGAGTCTATCATTAGAAGGCAGGTTTTCTAATCCTTAATCATTCTCCTGGCTCTTCTCTGATCCCTCTCCAGTTTATCAACGTCCTTCCTGAACTGTGGACACCAGAACTGGACACAGGATTCCAGCAGTGGTCGCACCAGTTCCAAATGCAGAGGTAAAATAATCTCTCTAGTCCCACTTGAGTTTCCCCTGTTTATGCATCCAAGGATCACATTAGCCCTCTTGGCCACTGGGTCACAGTGGGAGCTCATGTTTATCTGATTATCCACCACTATCCCCAAATCTTTTTTAGAGTCACTGCTTCCCAGGATAGAGTCCCCCAATCCTGTAAATCGGATTGGGGCGATCATTCAAGTACTTTTTCTTGCATGGGAAGCTGGGCCAAACTCTCAATTTTGCAAATCTTTTGGAGACAAAAACAGGTAAAACTCAGTGAGCTCGAATGAGTTTTGCTTTGGGTTTTTATGTTCTCGGCGGAGGTCCAGGTCAGAAATCAAAAAGAAAATGTTCACAAGCCCACCCTGAGAGGAACAAAACCACCAAGATTTACCCAGCTCTGGAAATTAGGAGTAATGTCTAGTAATTAAATATTAATTGATTCATTTACTGAGTAATGTCATTTATTTATGACATTCACTCAGGGTCGCACTCTAGTTTTATGGCCTTCATTAAGTAATTGAAATTTGCTAGCTTCCAAAAGATGCTAATTAATTTTGAGGAATTCTTAGTAAACAGTCAGTACCCAGTAATTGGTTTATGCTGGATGAGACGTTAAAACTAACCCTGTTCCCTCTGACAGCAATGGCAAAACCCTCAGTGGCTGGAATGGGAGCAGGATTTTAGCCCTAGTATTCCCCTTTGGGTGCCGTAATAAAAAAGTCACCCCTGAGTCACTTCTCATGCACCAAACGGATTCTCACACAAGTTCCAAGTGCTGCGCTTCTGACGCTACGCACCAGACAGCACCTCCTCAACATTAGGCTCCAAGAACACAGCATCAAAGTGATCTTTAAATGAATCAAAGGGAGGGAAATGCTGTTTTAAGGACTTAGAGGTGGAAGAAACTGTCCAACCAGGGCTTCAGATCCACACAACAGGTGGTGCTTCCTTAGGATAAAATTCCCCCCGGTGCCAAGAGTCTGCAAAAAGCCTATGCTCTACGTTGGGCTTCAGTGGGACTCAACTCGATGCCTGGTCGAATTTCGTGGAACTAGTTTCGGATCACTGAGATCATGCAACATTTTTCTGGTTTCGGTTCCCCAGGAAGGGTTCCATGGAGTTTTTGCTCCCAACACCCTCTCCCCCAAAACTAAAGGTTTGATGCCCACCTATCACAGGGATGGGGGCCTCAGCAATACAAAATGCAGGGTGAACCGCAGGCCAAAAGCTGCACGTTTCCTTTAGAAACCCCAACCTGACCCAGATTCCCAAACATCAGTGACCGGTGCAGTGACCTGAAAACTAGGCAAGCTTTGGGCTGCCCCAGAATGCTCTGTACAGCTCCATTCCCCCAACACAGCCCTGCGTGGCTCATACAGCGACAACACTTAAAAGGGGAAAAGCAAAGGGAGGTAGCCCAAGGAACAGCCACATTCTCAGGGCCGGTTTCCAGTCTCTACTACGCACTCACCTGAGTAGCGGATTTTAAAGCCCTTTCTGTTGTACGCATGGTCGGAGGACCAGCGGAGATAGACCTTGTTCCCAGTGCTGGTGACAGTCAGAGGAGCAGAGTAATTCCCACTTAGAGACAACAGCAGTGGACTCTGGCCAGCGGGACCTTTGGGGAAAGATTGGACACGTGAAGGTTGGGCCCGGCACATGGCAACCCCTCCCCTCCCCTCCCCTCAGCGATAGCCACTCCTAGCCTCACACACCGGGACCTGATTTTTGCAGAACACAGGGTGATAGACCTGTCGGTGGAAAGAAGCCCCTCGGCTCAGGGAAGACAGTGTTTAGTGACTAACAGCAACGCTCACTGCTACACGGTTGTGTCCTTTCCCCCACCCCCAACAGACAGCGTCCGTGTGCTTCATGCGACAGTTACCATCAAAGATCTCGAACTCGTCGTACTGCTTCTCGCTCAGGAAGTACTCGATGGCGAGGGTGATGTTGTACCCGGGCTCTACTTTGATCACCCAGGAACAGGTCTGGAAATGGGGGTAACGCCCCAGGTAGCTCTGGCTGAGGATCACGCCGGTGGAGTCCATCAGAACCTCGTTCATCAGGCAGTGCACTAAACCAAACCCAAACAAGAGTCCACAGAAAATGAGACCTCGTTTCAGCGGCCAGAAGAAAATGAAAGGAAGCAAGGAAAGCCGAGGTTTAAAATGCAGGTGCTTAGAGTTAGGCTGCAATTTCCAAAGTGGTTTAAGGGGACAAGGCTCCCAACTCCAATTGACCTTTATTAGGATCTAGGCTCCTAATTCTCTTGGGATCCCTGGAAAATTGCAGACCTAAATCCTGATTTAGGCTCCTCAGTAAGTGGGCTGCTGTTTAAGAGTGCTGAGCGCCCAGCAACTCTAGCGGAAGTCAAGGAAAAAACAGCACTTTGCATGTGCTGGGTCCAAGTGACCTCTGTGTCACTCCAGCTTTGTGTGGGGAAACTGTCAAAATCCATGGGAGTTGCATGGGTGTAAAATTGGAGTAACGCAGGGATGGATCAGGGCCTCACCTTTTGACTGACGATCTTAAAGCACTGTGCAGCCATTCTCTTATCAAGCCTCAGAATATTCCCTCCAAGACCAAGCAAACTTTATTATCCCCATTTTACTGACTGGTAAACTGAGACACAGATCTTGCGACACTTGCTCAAGATTACTAGGCAAGTCGGTTAGACTAAAACCCAGGAGTCCTGAGTCCTAGTTGCTTGCTCTAATCCCTAGATCTCACACAAGCTCAGAAGTGTTTATACCAGAAGCAAGTGTTAAATAAAAGTTTGGTGTAAAAACAAACCAAAAAAACCTAACCCAAGAGACACTGAAATACAAACACACAAGAGGATCTTTATTGATCTGTACATCCATCCATCAGCGATTGAATGCTGTATTGAACGCTATCCTTGGGATTACAGAAAACAGCAAGAGCTGTCCAGAAGGGACAGTGGATTCTTTCCAAATCCTTAATCCCATTAATGATTTTTTTTACCTCTGTAAATTGGTGACCAGATATCATTTAAGCAATCTCTTGGCTTGCAGGCTAACAACCACCAGTAAATAACTAAATGCCTGCCCCCCCCACCCCGTTCTCACACTACTAGAGAGAGACAAAGCTATAGAAAAATCTCCCATTATACAGCAAAAATGTTCAGATGGCGGAAAGAAGATGAAAAGATAACCATGACTGAAGTGGAAAAAACCTATCAACAGGAAGCGATAGGATAAATAAGATAACAGGGTTGCATCTTTGGCATTCCTCCTGAGTAACAGGAAGGGGTGTGATGCATCACACTCAGAGCATTCAATTTTCTCTCCTTTAATGCACTGTGTAGTACTAATGCAGAAGCTGCGCCTCCCAGACTCTGCCCTCAGGAGGACTGTACTTAGCTGAAGGCAGTTCCTCGGTGCTACAGGGGTTCGTGTATCACTGGCAAATGGTCAGAGAGGGCTTTTTGTCTCTCTGAGGATAAGGATGTTTGGATTGTTGTTTTAATGACTTCACGGATGTAGCCAGGTGTTTGCTGTGTCAGAACAGTGCCCAGAAAGGCTTTGTTCGGGCTGTGACTTGGGGAAGTACTTACACTTATGCTTAAAATTAAGCATGTGCTCAAATGCTTTCCTCAACGGGGGCCTCAAGGCATAACACAGCACTACCCAATGCTAGACAGATTCTACCAGGGGGGTTGAGAGCCGTCAGCTCCCACAGCAGTCTGCAGAGGCTGCACCTGGCTATATATAATTTCTCAAATCATTTCTCAGACGGATCCTGTCATAAATTAACTGATAAATATTTTACTATTCACCCTGCTTTGCTCAGTACCTGCAGCTGGCTAGACTGAATCCCACGGCAGAAGAGCCACTCCCTGCACCCTGGTCTTTCAAATTTGCAAATGTGTTGGGACCCAGGCCAGTTACCTTCGCAGGTCGGGGGCGGCCCTCCAAACTGGAGATGAGTCCCCAGCTTGCACGTCAGGATTTCCGTTCCGGTCAGGGTGAAGCCGGGGAGGCACTGATACCTCACGATGTCACCTGGAAAGAAAGACAACGCCCTCAGCTGGGGAGAAGGTTTGGTTTAGCAAGGATGAAAGTCACCCCTATGCAGAGTGGCCCGTACAAGGCTTAGGTACCATTTCGTTCCCGCTGTAGCTGCTATTTCAGGAGATTGCTCAAAGGGGCTGACTGCAGGGGACCCAGTGCATCAATCGCACAATTCACCTATTCTATAGCCACAGAATACCAATCCACAGGGGTGAAATTCGCCCATGTGCAGCTCCACTTAATTCCCACTTCAACCATCTTTTAAGGACTTCAGTGAGGCGCAGATCCACTGCACATGGGTGAATCTGACCGAGTGCCTGCACAGACATCCCATGATCTTTCTAACAGCCAGCGCTGCACAGTCCCTCAGGATCTGAGAACCCCGCTCCCTCCGGGTCTTACACCAGTATGGGTCCTGCAACCAGAACTTAGCTGGCAATGGTGTGGATAATGCGCAAGAAAGACACAAATCCAGCTGGATCCCCCCTTAGCTACATGGGGATAATATGTGGAGTATAGATAGATAGATTAGACAGGGCAATACAAGTAAAACGTGGCACATGCGGGTCATATTCGGAACGGGTGTAAATCAGTATTACTCTGCTGATTTCAGTGGAGCTAGGCTGATTTATACCAGCTGAGGATTTGGCCCAGAAGGAGCAGATACAGCGAGCAAGGTGGCTTTCGATCGTGGGTACTTTTCTGGCTGCGGACATACTTTAAACACAGACACGACACTGAAAATTCAAAAAGCGCAGGAAATACGGAGGAAAGCTTTTGTTTGAAGCCTCATGGCCTGCTACACAGTTTAATCGCCTTAAACATCTTAATGCGGCAGGACACGATTGAGGCAAATAGCTCTGAACACGGACTGGGCTTTCATCGGAGACGCCTCCTTGCAGTTACACTAGTGAGGATAAAAATCCTAAAGACTATCAAATCCAGCTGATTCAGTGCATATGCCAGTCACCGAACTGGGGCAAGCCCTCCAACCTCCCATACTGAATAGCGCAGAATTAGATGGGTTCCTCTGAAGCACACAGCATTGGTGCCAAGATACCAGCCACAGGGAGCGCTCATCTGTTCTGATGCAGCCTATCCTATGGGGATGGGGGTCGGAAGAAGATACCTATGTTAAATTCTTCATTCTCGGTGATGATTTCGGCATTGGGAACAATGGTCGGAGGGTGGCATTTGAAGAGCTGATAGGCTGAAAAGAAGGAAAAACAGCAAAGGTCAGGGCATGGAATTGCTTCCAACGGGATAAGGCTCGCACGTGCCTAACAGCAGCTCAGTGTGGTGCAAGGATCTGCTTCTCTGAAACAAACTGCCACCCTGCGGCATGGAAAAAGGGTGGAGCACCCAGCTGTATCGATCTCAGTTACTTATCTGGTCCTCATTACCCTGAGTAACTCGCAATCTTCCATCCTCACAGCACCTCCGGCAGGCAGGGCTGTGCTATGGTCCCCATTGTACAGATGGGGAACGGAACCACAGAGATGCTAAATTTAGTGGAAGGTCCCACGGGAAGATTGCAGTAGGACCCATGTCCCCCTAGTCCCAGGCTAGCCCCGTAACTCCCTCTTTCTTGGTAGGGCCATGGCTCAGCTTAGTTTACACTTAACACCTTGTGAAAATATCATCGACCCCGTCCTTCCCCAGTATGTGATCCCCCATTATCACGACTGTACAGTTCTGGCTCAGGCTCCCTACATTATCCCAGATCTGTTCAGTGCCTGCTACAGCCAGAACCAGTGCTGAACGAGCCAATGGATTCCAACATCCGTCCAACCTACCTGGCTTCTGAGAAAGGGCAGGTGAGGAGATGCAAGACGCCCCCAGGTATTATTACAGTGTTGTTGTAGCCATGTTAGTCCCAGGATATGAGAGAGGCAAGGAGGGCGAGGGAATATCTTTGATTGGATCCACCTCTGTTGGTGGAAAGGACAAGCTTATGAGCTTTACAGAACTCTTCCTCAGGTCTGGATAAGGGAACCAGAATGCCCACGCTAAACACTAAGGTGGGACAGATTGTTAAGCATAAGGAGTTCACACATATTGTAGGAGACCACGTAAAATGAAGTGGGCAGTTAACACCTCTCCAGTCATAGGACAATGGAGAGTTAATAGGCAGCACGACACTAAAAAAAACATGGACTGGTTTTATGCCTATTACAACAATTTCTAAAACACCCGGCTGTCTAACAACTCACCATTGTCCTATGATTGCAGAGGATCCCTTGCCCACCTTGTCTCTCTCAGGTCCTTGGGATGGTGTCTGTATTGAGAATCAGCACCATGGAGAGCACACTATGCAGCACTTCTCCTCCCAGGAAACAGCTGAATGGAAGGAGAGTGAAAAGAAGACTACAAGAAACCCTATATGGTGCTGGCTGCAGCAATTTGGTCACAAGAACACCTTCCTCAACTGTCTTGGTCTGCCTAGAATGCCATTCAATAGCACATTACAAACCTTCCATGCCCAAAGTCACTGGGAAGAAAGCTCTTTATTAGTATGAAAGAGTAGAGGGCTTCGTTCGTGGACAGATGAAGGGTGACTGGTGTTTACTGAGTGACTCGTGTGCGGAGGTGATGGGATCATCCACAGAGTCTGGGATACTTAGTGGAAGAGACTGGACAACCTCAATCGGATTAGGTCAATCCGTGAATAACGAGGATGGGTGGAAATCTTGTTCTGCTCTGCAGCCAAGTGAATAATTCACAATGAATAATTATTCTGAGAATTTCATCTTTGGTCCCTGTCCTTGAACTGAGATCGCAAAATTCACTGATTTGTCACTTGGAATTATTCATTATTTTATTTTGCAAATAATTCCTGGGATGCAGCTGGTTTGATCTTCCAATTGAGAATATTAAAATCGAAGATGCAGGTTGCGGTGCCCAGTGTAACTTCCCTGGTATGTGATGTAAAAAACAACAGTGCAGGTTTGAAGCAGGTGTTTAATTATACATTTCTCAGCTGGCGCTGTGTTGGTGAAATAAAGAAGCCATCCAGTCAGGGAACAAAAACAATACCGTTTGACTTATGAGCCTGGCCAAACACAACAAAGAGCAAATTTTACAATCAAACATACAGCCTGAAATTAACTATCAGCAAATATTCTAGAACTTGAGCAAAATAATTTGCTGCTCACCAACAGATGAGCTCATAATGGCTTCACACTCTAATCCCTATGGAGATGAACACACAAGGAATGTGAACGTGGTTAAAACATCTGCTTTTGGAGCTGAGTAACTCTTCTTGGAAAGCATTTTCTGAGGTCAGTCCTATTCTATCATACCCCTCCCACCGAGCCTGGGCCACCATAAACTTCTCTGCAATTGGTGTCAGCCTGCTAAGCCCAGATGTAGATGATCCACCTACTAGAGAGGAGCTAATTTTCACTAACTCTACAAAGCTAGTGGAAACAGAAGCAGCAGAACAATGTTCCTAAGACTTTATTATATTGTATTTAGATGCTTAAATTAGGATTTAGTTGCTTAACTTTAGACACCCACTCACCCCTCTCCATGCCTCAGTTTCCCCATCTATAAGTTTGGGGTACAATAACCTCCCCTACTTCACCAGAGAGGTTGTGAGGCTCAATTAATGTTCATGAAATGTTTGGAAAGAGTTGGATGAAAAGGGTGATTTATTTTTACCTAAGGGCAGCGTATGGCCCAACGTTTGCAAAAGAAAAAAAAATCCTGACATCATCATAATGAGCTAAGCTTGAACAGAGGAGATCAAAGGGAACTGTCAGATCTGTAATTCTGTGAGATGCCTTCTATATAAGTTCTTTGCAACTTACCAAAAAAGTTACAGTGAAACGATGAGCTAATGAGCAGGAGAACAATGCATGTTCCAGAGATTTGGGCAGTTTAACTGCCGAACCTGTCACTTCTCCTGCAAAGCTTCTTTGGTCATGGAGGAATAAAAGGGAGGGAGGGGGAGGAAACGGGAGTGAATTTTGTCAAGCTCCCAGAAATAAACAGTTGCTTGAAGACTCCAAACCTTTGCTCCTCTGGACACTCTGCCTCTGGATAAACAACAGGTGCTTTATTATGGCCAACAGAAAACAAGGAGAGGGAGAAAAAGCCCCAGAAGAAAGAGCAAAGGTCGGACAACTGCTTTAATGGCAGAAGCATCTCTGCAAAGATTTATTTTCATTGAAGTAAAACTCCACGCTAGTGGTATGCCTGTATTGCAATCGGGGAGTGTGATTGCGGCTCAGGTGGACACACCTGAGCTAGCTTTAATCCAGCTAACTTGGGCACCAGAGCAGGGAAACGGTGGAAGCCTGGAATCCTGGGAGCTTAACTCGGGAGGTGAGCCCACGCTGAAGTGTAGGTGCTGCAGCTACTTCACTGCTCCAGGACCCGAGCCAGCGCCATGAAAGCGAGCTCAGGTGTGCCCAGAGAGCTGCAATCACACCCTGCGATGGCAGTGTAGACACACCCTAAGTGGCAAACTGGGCTTTAGGCCAAGATTTTCAACAGCGATTGATTATTCCATTTTGGGAAGCTCAACTCGAGCCACCATAAAGGGGCCTGATTTTCCGAGTCTGGGTACTCAGCACTTTCTCTCAGCGGTCCCCTTTAAGGAGGTGGCACCGTGGTGGGACTCAAAAATCCCAGGTTCTAATCCCAGCACAGCCACTGACCTGCTGTGTGACCATGGGCACATTTCTCTGCCTCTGTTTTCCCTCCCAACCTCTGTCTTCTCTATACAGACTGTGAACACTTTGGAGCAGGGACTGCTTCTCACTAGGTATGCACAGCACCTAGCAGGAGGGAGCCCTGATCTCGGCTCTAGGTGCGACCGTAAAAGAGAGAATAATATCCTTTCTTTTATGTCAGAGTGGAAAAAAGATTCCAGAGTCCAAGGCTGAATTAATCCCCTTGGTTGTGGAATAAAATAAAAAAAACAAACCCAGGAGGAAATCCAAACAACACACCTAGGAGAGAGAAAGAGAAATGCTATTTGCAAGCTTTAAAATGGATGTTTGACAGTGGAGAATAAAAAAAAAACCCAGACAAAAATTAAATTAAATGCTATTTTAAAATGCTTGACAGCATCTATTTAAGTGGAGAGATAACCTAGCAATTGGAGCATCAATCTCTATTCCTTAATGGGCTACATTTCAATACGGGGCCATGATTACGACGGTTTCAGCATCTGGATAACACCGCACTGATAAACCTTCCTCTGAAAGCACCCTGATGTGCCTGCACCACAACAAAGCGCAGCCTGTGTCTTTGAAACACCACTGAGACCCACCTTGAGTTACTGTGCCATAAACATCCTTCCCCATCACATTCACACATCAGGTTCTTGGGCTGCTACCAGAAATAAGCATTTAATAATAGGTGCAACATCATCAAGTTTCAAGGGATGCTGCCAACCTTTCAGCCTCCCTGAATCACTCCTTTTTCAGGAGATGCTTCCCTATAGGTGTTTAAAGGGGGGCGGTTCCCATAAGCGGATGATGCTCATCATTGCATTGGGGAAGATATTTAATGGGATGTCTTGTGTGCCCGATCTAAGTAGCCTGTGCATGCACAAAGAGTTACATTGTGGCAGATCCAGGAGAAACTCTATGGAACTCAGTGGACTTACACTGGCATATGGTAGGCACTGACCAAAGTGGGTGGATTCATTGACAATCAGGGAGCCACCTGTGTGCAAATTTTCTGCTGTACCATGTGCAACTTATCCACTGAAGTATACAAAGCTTGAGCAGAACAGAGCAGAATCTGACCCTATGTCTTTTTATCATGCTGTATGCACAGAGAAGAAACACTGCAGAGCTGTGCCTAGACATTAATAGTAACAGTATTCAGTCCCCAAGAGAGATGGTTGCAGAGCATTAAACAGAACCCAGGCTGTGTGCCTCCCCCCCACACCAGGATGAAGATTACCATTGGAATGGAATGATTTGGGGAGGGCTAAACAGCTGGCAATCAACCTTTAAATACTTTGTGGAAGTTGGTTGCTCAAGATGAGGGTAGGGTGACCAGATGAGAGGAAGAAAATATCGGGAGGGGGGTTTGCCAGCAGAGAAAAAAAAGGGGAGGGAGTGCGGATGGCGGAGCAAAAAAAAACAAACCAAAAACCGAGCACCGCAAAATATCGTGACACATTGCATCCCGACCGAACATCGGTTGGGACGCGGGACAAACGCCTAAATATTGGGACGGTCCCAGTTTTATTGGGACGTCTGGTCACCCGAGATGAGGGTGAAGGCATGAGTTGGTAGCAGGAAGGTGCCTGAGGCTGAAATGGGGATCAGATGAGTGGAATGAATATCGGATGATTCAACTGCTTACTTCCTGGTTGTTTTCCGGTTAGTTTGGGTGGGGTATGTAATCTAAGCCACCTCAACTCAACGTTCATGAACACAGCTGCAGACCATTTTGGATAGGTCATTTTTAAAAAAAATGAAAATCCTCACTGAAATTTCTATGAAAAAAATAATTGATGAAATTTATGTGCTTTTTTTTTACATTTTTCAACCAGCTCAATCAATGAAGTTTTTAGCCACAGTTTATACTGAGGTTTCATTTCTGTGTATTTTATAAAGTGGTTAATAAACCAGTAATAGATGCTTTAATAGATGGTTAAGCAACGGCTCCTGAGTACAACAGATCAACAGGTTGCTCACAACCACAGTTTATAACTAGGCTTTGCACAATTCGATTTTTATCAATTTAAACGGTTTCAGAGTAGCAGCCGTGTTAGTCTGTATCCGCAAAAAGAACAGGAGTACTTGTGGCGCCTTAGAGACTAACAAATTTATTAGAGCATAAGCTTTCGTGGACTACAGCCCACTTCTTCGGATGCATATAGAGTGGAACATATATTGAGGAGATATAATTTCTCTTAATTAATTGGCCTCTCAGAGTTGGTAAGACAACTCCCACCTGTTCATGCTCTCTGTATGTGTGTGTATATATATATTTGGGGGGGAGGGATAGCTCA